CTCAGACTGTTGGACATGTATATTGACATGTTGAATTTTCCCAGACTAATTTTTTTTTCTATAAGGCACAACAAATAACTGCCCCTCTCCCTCCCTTTTCATTCCTGTACTACTTGCTCTCTTGCAAGCAAAATGATACCCGGCCACTTAGCATTAGAAAGACTTCGAAATACAGATAGTTTAGTCTGTTCCTGTTTTAGGCCCTTGTGTTACCGAATGTTTTACACCAGCTTTATTTCAGAGAAGGATGTAGTGTGCATGGTGGCATCTCTGTCCAGCTGCTGATGTGGCAGACACTGGAATCTGTGCGAAGATTTAATCTACTACTGTGTTAATTCAAATGCCAGAGATTTTGTTTATGGTACTAAAGATTGTAGTTTTGATCCTTTATGGCATCTAAAACAACCATGTGCTCCTGGCTGTATTTCATTACGCTGGATCTATTAGGTTGAGCTTCTGTGGAGTACAGGTACGATCAATCTCTAAAATCAGCAATGTAAGCAGTAAGTTAACTCCACTGTTTGTCAGAATTTCATATATTCCACACTGTATTTTAGTTCCGGTGCTACCAACATAGTAACTAAGCATCTTTTAAGTTGTATTTTCATGTCATGAATGGTATTTAACTCATCTGTATTGCTGTTTTATCCTGAGCTTTCACACATGAACTGTGGTAGTTTGCCCTTTTGTTAAATCATGTTAGTAGCTGTGGCTGATAACAGCTTGAACAATGTTGTATTTACTGCAAGGATTCTACATGGGCCTCCTAGGAGCAAGTAATAACTTAAAAGCATAACATCCAATTTTGAGACAGAACCATTATAATTCCAATAAAGATAAGAACAAATCCATTGAAATAAAAAACAGTCTTTGGGTGGATTCAGAAATTCTCAGCATCTCATTCTGACATTGATGAGTCTGTAGTTGTAAATTTAACAGATCATCTTTCTCTATCTGCATTTGTTACGTAGCTATTAACTCTGATATGGAATACTGGTACTTCATAGAGACCAAGTTTACAGATAAACTACAATCACTGCAGAAGCTCTACTAGTATCAAAAAGTCAGAAGTGGATGTGTGGATATTTCTATGATTTTTGTGTTTACATCAGTTCTCAGCTGTGCCTGTGGTTAAGCTATGCTATTTTTCTTTTTTTATTAAGATGTCAGATTGCTTAAAAGAAATAACAGATGAAATTGAACCTTGGTGTGACTGCTGGTGATTGGGAAGGATGAATGTTTTGCAGATGAAGCTAAGAGTTGTCTGTCATTCCTACCAAACCACAAGACTGATACTCCTTTCAGAGGAGAGAGGGTTACTCCTTCCAGATTGTGGGAATGCAAGTTCCATCATTGTAGTGTTTCTGCCTATGTCTTCCTGACTAACCTGCAGCCTCGATTTCTCCAGTTTTTGGTTACCAGCCTTTCTGGCCTGTCCAGTGGAATTTGGCCACATATTCGATTTGTAACTTCTCCTTTCTGTGATGTGCCTTGAATCAGCCTGCGTGCCTCACATTAGGCTGGTGTGACCAGAAAGCAACAGTGACCTGTTCTCTGCTCATTCTACCCTTCTGTATACTGCTTCCTGGTTACCCACAAGAACAAACTAGGCTAGAAGGATTTGCTAAACCAGTTTTGAAGAGGACAGATTACCTGTAGGTGGCAGAGTGAAAGATAACAGGAAGAAAGTTCACTTGACTTGGTCACAGTTTTCCCTCTTGACTTGTAAGAAAAAATCTCACCAGATCCTTGTCTGAGTGGAGATAGTGCTCTGGGTGTTTGTCACTTTCAATTAGAGCTGTTGTCATTCAGTTTAGGTTTTGAAGGCTATTGGGGATCATTAGTGGTTGCCCCATTTAAGAATGGTTTAAGCAACTCTTTCTATGTCAGATCTGCACTTGATTTGCTCCGCTGGCTCCCAGTCAGTTTCCAGTATCATCTGTGGCTTTGGTCTTGGTCTTCAAAGCGACTATTGGATCAAACACCCCAGCTACATCAAAGGCTGTATTTCTATTTGTGAACTACCAGAATAGTTGTATTCCTTTGGGCAGTGTAAGTGATGCAGTACCAGAGCAACCACACATCCCATGGGACACAGTGTTCTGGGTTAGGGCTTCAGGCTATGAAAAAAAAGTCCCCAAAGCAATCAGGTGAATGCAGAGTAAGAGATGGCTTAAAGGAGGCCTTACTAAACACCTCTGTGAATGTGCTCTATTATTACTAATGGTGCAGAAGAAACTCCGGTTTTTATCTGAAACATAAAAGAAGAAAGTTAATATACTTTGAAATGTTGTCAGGTCATGAAAGATATTGTATGTTTAAAAGTTGTGTACTTGTACAAAGTACCTGCTAACAGTATTTAAAACTTACCTTTGAACTGCATTAAAATCACAAACTGCTTACTGGGAGAGACCACATTATTAACAGAAACCAAAGGTGACATACCTCTAAAGGAACTGAATGTTTTAGTAGGAATAATAAATGTTGTATAACTTGTTACTGTTGAAAGACAGAAATCAAGTCTGACCAACTTCTAAACGAACATTAAAACTCTTCTTTTTAGTTAATTAGAACTATTCCACCACTGTACTGTATCTATAAAGTGCTATGGACAGAACTGACACTGCTGAAGCAATTCTCTGCCTCACTCAAATTGGTTACTAGAGACTAATAAATTGCTCAAAGGGTTGAACATAAGAACTGCAACTCCAGATAATTTAATCAAATTAAAAAAAAAAAACCTATTACATTAATTATAAACTAAATACCTCAATAAATGTATTGTGTAATTTAAATCCTGGATAAAGCAGCAGCATCTGTGTATCCACAGGTTTTCATAGCATGTTTTTCAGCTTTCCATTTTTATCCCACAGCAGTAGATAGTTCTTACTTGAATACCTAATGGGTGGCAGAAAGAAGACATCCCTGTACTGGTCAGAAAAATGTAATCCCTTGAGTGTCTGTTTCCTTAAAAAGTTGCATTAATTTCTTCATTTTAGGTTTCTCTCAGACTGCCTAACACATCTGCCTGATCTTCATGTATTCAGCTTTCTCTATAAAGAAACTCAGTTGCCATTGCATCTTGTAATAAAAACAGCTGGGTGTTGTGTAGGAGGTACCATGTCTGAAAGCAGGGCAGCAGCTCTAGAGGAGCCTGCCCTGTTTGCTTCACCCTTATGTATCTTTCCAAAATGCTTGAAGTGTGTCATCACTGACCTGGTACTGTGTGTAGATGGCAGTGAGGTATCCAAATCTTCCATTTTCCTGCATAGGAACTGTGCTGAATTTTTCTGTAGTGTTGTCTTGCAACAAGAAGTATCTCATAGGGATACTGTGTGAATACAGAGATGTTGTCATCTCTGTGCCGTATTAAAACTGGAAGTTTTCACACGAAGTTTGTACATACTGATACTATACTGCTAATAGAAGGGGCCAGCCTGTCAGGTATGGTAAAAGATAGCTAGTTACCCTGTGGCAGAATGAAAATAGCAAGGTAAGAGCCACTGAATCCTGTTTTCCTGACTAGCCTGATTTGATGATTGAATAGCTTTCTGTCCACAGTAGAACTTCGTAATAAATCATTCTGCAAAGCAAATTGTCACCTGAACTTAGACATAAATTACAGACAGTACGAATCTGTTCTTCAGTTCATGTTGTCTTTGATAGGGCTTGCTCTAGGAAGGATCCAATTGCAATTCCCTAAATTGCATCCTATTTGTAAGTTTTATCTAAAGAATTTTACAGGTGTTGCCTCATGCAGTGATTTGACGTTTTTTCCTCCTGTTGTTGTGGTGAGTAATGTGAAATCACAAGATTTCTTCTTCCTGACTGGTTGATAAAAATTTAAATAAAGAGTGAAAAATAATGAGTTGTTCAGCTCTGGATGATAAATGTTCATGCTCAAGTTCTTAACAGTTTCAGGGACAAACGAATATTTTAATGAATATGTAACAGGCAGTGCTCATAAGAAATATGACCTTATGATTTATTATGAATTAGAAGCATCTTTGCCAATTATTTCTTTTGTAATAGTAAGCATTACTTTGAATACATCTCTGCAACATTTTTGCTGGAAAAGTGGATATGAAAGCATAATGAAAGTGAAGGCTTGCTCTGTGAGTGTTTGTTTTACATGTACATGTATCGTAGAATACTTTCATGATAGAATGGTTTGGGTTTAACAACATCAAGTTCCAACTCCCTGCTATAGGCAGGGACACCTCCCTCTAGACCAGGTTGCTCACAGCCCCATCCAGCCTGGCCTTGAATGCCTCCAGGGATGGGGCATCCACAGCCTCCTTGGGCAACCTGTTCCAGTGTGTCACCACCCTCTGTGTGAAGAACTTCCTCCTAATATCTAACCTAAACCTCCCCTGTCTCAGTTTAAAACCATTCCCCCTTGTCTTATCACTATTCACCCTCGTAAACAGCCGTTCTCTTTTCTGTGTATATGCTCCCTTCAAGTCCTGGAAGGCCACAATGAGGTCTCCCCAGAGCCTTCTCTTCTCCAAGCTAAACAAGCCCAGTTCCCTCAACCTTTCCTCACAGGAGAGGTGCTCCAGCCCTCTGATCATCTTAGTGCCCTCCTCTGGACCCGCTCCAAGAGCTCCACATCTTAAAGGATGACTGCCAACAAATGTTGGCTTTCTGTTGCTGTGTCACACATACATGTTAAAAATATTTTATTCCGTATCACAGCTTTGAACAATGTTTCTCTTCTGCTTTTTTTAATATGTATTTTGTGTGTACTACTTCTATTGAAAGAACAGATGCAGTGGCTCAAACGAAGAGCGAATATTGAACATTTGAAAGAAAGAGAAATAATCTATAATATAATGCAGAACACTTTTCAAATATAGAAGTTCTTTAGAAAAAAAAAACCTTCAGAACAGTATTCTGTTGAGTTAACAGCGCTCTTCGATGTGCTAAGAGATGAACTGGAGGATATTGTTGCAAGGCAAAAAATGTGTTGTATTTTTTAATTTTGTTGTGAACTGTTGTGCCTGAAGTTCCTGCCTATCAGCATGCTTTTCAGTCAGTGCCTGTGTTACTGCAGGTAGTTCCCAGTGCTGCTGAGTCTGATGATACCCTTAGTGATTTCATACAGCCAGCTGTGCAATTACCTTTACTTGTATTTTATAACAGTCAAGAACAAAATGCATGTTTCCTATGTTTTTTTCTCTTTCCTTTTAATAGCAAATGTGGCTTTTAGCTCTTTCTCATTGCTTTCAGGGCATTGTAGAAGTGTTGCTGGACAGGCCCTTGCAGCACTGACTAATCTTACCCCTCACCAGCTCATTTCCTTTCACTTACCATATATGCCAATATTAAAAAAAAAAAAAGAATTTGATGTGGGTTTTGTTTGTGTTTATTGTGGTGAGATCTGTGCACTTGAGAACAGTGTACTTTAAAACTTTGGCCTGGAGATGGATGGAAGTAATGAAAAATCACAACAGTAATTAACTTTAAATATTTAATTATGTGAAGTTATTCACAGGATAAAGTATCATTTAAATGAGTGCTGCTTTGAAAATTCATCCAGGGATATTTTTTAGAAATGTAAACAGAAGATAGTGATGTATTTAACTATAATTTCATTGGGGTTTTTTGTTTGTTTTTGTGGGGGTTTTTTTTTGTTGTTTTTTTGCTTTGCTTTTCGCTATAAGAATGTGTGAATCTCAGATCTGTGTCACTTAAAATTGCCTGTGAGCTTTTTGTCTGTGTTTTTGTGTGCATATGCAGTTGCATAAGCCCTCCAAACTGTCTGCTTTGTTACTGCCCATTCACAGTAGTAACATTTACAAAAGTGGTGCTGTTGGTTCAGAACCACTTGCAGTGCAGTCAGATTTATTTTATCATCCAAGACCTTTATGGAGTGCCCTTTCTGTTAAGGAATTAGTGAGGCATTCCCACACTCGTGGGGAAACTTGCCTTCCAAAGAAGGGCTGCAAGACTGAGGGGAGCTGAGCCCCAGAGGGGAGATGGGAGGGAGCCTCAAGACCACACATCACTTGCAGTGAATGGCAGAAACTCCCATAGGACACTTAATTCCACTCAGATTTTAGCACTTTCGTTTCAACTGGCGTGGAAGACTGCCTACATTTTAAATCACTGTATTTTATAAAGTACACCTTACAGAAGTGATTAATGTGTCCTCAAGCTCACATTTCTTCGCCAGTGTTTCTGTGGGACAGTGGAGTTCTGTCTTAAACACTTTGAGATGACTGTTATTAAGATGCTGCCAAAATCTTTTAGATTTGGTAGATTTAATATGAAAGTAGAAATTGAATGTAAATCCTTGAGCTTCGTTATGAATAATATTCTTCAGCCTTTAATAATCTTGAAGGAAGAGCACTGATGACTTCAGAAATGATTCCATTTTCCTGGGTATACTAGTGATGTCCTTCAGGTGTGGTGAATGGATTTTGTTATAGTGTCTCTGTTAATGGGGTCGTGGATGTGTTTGCTTGTCTTGTAACTCTCCATTTGTCACCTGGCAGGCTGAAGGTGAAACGGTGGCTGTTCTTGCACACAGTGGAAGTGAAGATGAGTTTGATCCAAGTACTCTCCCAGATCCTGATAAATACAAAGATTCTGATGAAGAACAAGATACAGAAAGCGAAGACAGCTATGGGTATGTACATATCTTCCTTGTTGATTTCGAAGTATTCATGTTCTTTAGAAACTGATGTGTTTACATGTTAGGAACTCATTATAGTTATCCTGTTGCTTCCACTACTTAATATTTGAGAGTTTGTTTGTGAGGTGGGTACTGAAGAGAAATCTATGTTAAAGCTATTATTTCATTTTGTGAAGCTGTATGAGAGAGATACTGAGTGAAGTCCTGTGTGGTTTCTGTCATTGGCTTCACAGCAACAAGTCCATTTGTGTGTTTCTCACAAAGAGCCTATGTGTTACACATTCAGAAGCATTTTATTGACACTTAGTGCTGTTAAGTGCAGATCTTTATTTTGCCCTCTTCTAGCTGTCTAGGTTTAGAAATCTCACTTTTCACATCTGACTCAGATATCTTAGCAGCTATGTATTGTCGCTAGCCCTAGAGTGAGTGAACATTGTGGGGATGCTGTGTAGGACAGGGTGCTGGGACATGGATTTACAGCCTAATTAAGCAGCTGGTGACCATATCCCCTGTAGGTCTCTCACCAGTGTGTTGGTCGGTAGAACTGACAGGGATGGGTACGTGCAGTGATTTTCCTGCTTTTTTTTGTGCAAGGAGTGAAAGGGTAACTGTAACTGAATTGTAGTTCCTTCTGTGTGTTCACTTCCCTCACTTGATTCAGTGTCTGTACTCCTTGTAGAATGAGTGAAAAAGCTGGGTGTAAAACATTAAAATGGCTTTCTAAAAATGGGCAGAAAACAAGAAGCCAGTGCTTAACAAGGTTCTTCCAGTTCCTACTGCATTTCTGACGTCTTGTCTCTGCCCATTAGCTTTTGCTGAGAGGAAGAAGCATAATTTGTTAAAACGTTCTCCTGTAATGAGGTTTAAGATTCAGCATTTATTGAGAAGGTTTGTATAAGAGGATTTGTAGATTGCTTTTCATGTGTTACGAGAGTTTAAATGTATCTGGCCATACTTGATGAATGCATTCTCTAGTGGTATTTTTATATTGCTTGGAGCAGGATCAGGTTACTATAATGAAATTGTATTCTCAGCTTCCCCCAGATAATTTCAGAAACATGGTTAATACTGTCTTTTTAATATATGAGACTCATTTAATATAATGAGTAATACCTGGATGTAGGATAGTCATTTGAGCTAGAAGATGCTGTGGAATCCCATTTTGTGGGGTTTGGACCATCTCTGTGCTGACATGAGCTGTAAGACAAGCAATAGAACAACAGCATATTTAGGAAGTTTGGTTTATGTAGAAGATCAATATAGGAGCCAGAGAAGTATTTCAGGATTCTAATAGGACTTGTAGCAGTGCCCATTCTGTTGTTTTGCCTTTGAGAGCAAATTCTGAGCTGACTTCAGTAGTAATGCTTTGCTCCAGATTAAAAGGTAAAAATAAAAAAAAAAAAGTGGACAGATTATTGTGAGATAAGAGATGGTCACTGATCGTTTGTTTCTTGGAAGAAGAATAGAAGTTTATTGGAAAGGTCTGAAAGAGATCTTTGGTAAGAGGTTGGCAATCAAGCAATACTTGTTTATTAGTTAGTGCGTTGCTTCTGAAGGGCAGATTCCTGGAATCCATTAAGAACATGTACAAGTGCTCAGATGGGAAGGATTTACCAGCAACCAAGCGTAGGAAACCTGATGTCAAAACATTACCTATTATATACTTTGTTACCTCAGGCGTTTCCTAGTTACTCATAAGTTGTTGCACACCTAGTGCAGGAGAAAGGTATTTCATTGCTGTGTTTCATAAACAAGATTTAACATTGTTTCATCTGACTGCCTTAGCTGGGAAAGGCTGTCTCAACAAAACTGTGTTTTGTAATGGAACTGTTTAATAAGCATTCTGAAAAAGTTATGAGGGGGGTTGCCTAATATATTTTCAGTGTCATTAAGTAACAATTTACTAGGGGAGATCTTACTAGTCCCTTCCCAAGGACATCAGCTAGACAAAAGATTTGCTATGTTTTAAGAACAGACACTGATAGAGTTGGGCAGATTCTTGGCAGTTCTAATCAGTGCATATTTTTTGGAATCAGCTGTTGACATGGCCCTCTGGAATCAGAATGTCAGCTCACAGAGAGAAGGTCTTGGTCATTTCCCTTTCCTGTGAAGTAGAATGGAAAAGACAGTGCACGTTAAACAGGAAAAAAGGGGTTAAATAATACCTTCTAATGTATTTTCTTCAGCAAATCTCAGAACACTGTACCAAGGAGATGGCTATGGTTTTTGCATACAGCAATGTTGCGTCACAAAGACCAAGCTGATGACACAGATCTGGGAATAAAACTCAGGTACCCTGAGGGCCAAGTGCTCTGTCCACTAGGCAGCATTTCCTTGGTAACTGATTTTTTTGTGTTTTGTTGTTGTTGTTGTTGTTTGTTTGTTATATTTTTCAGTATGCCAAGTTTACACACATGTACTTAACACCTTGTAGGTGCAGTATAGTCATTTTATTGGTTTAAATTCAAGACAAATCTCCTTGGATGGAAAGAGCAATTTTGAGAACAAAAAATATTCTCTTTGTATGATCCAACATGAGCTGAGGTGGATTATTTTTCTACCATATATTCTGTCTTATCAGGTTTACTTTACTACGTGTACTTCAAGTTTGTTGTTTGCACCATGTTTGGAGGTTACTTTGGAATGAAGTGTAATGATAGAACATTTTCCATGCTACAATGTTACCTACATTGTGTCAATGTATTTAAAAGATAACTTAAATCTAGGAGGGTTTTACCAATGGAATTTACTTCCTTTTTAAGTTATGAATTTAGCCTTGAGCATGGCAGAAAATCATTTATCTTGAAAACTGGATTTTATTTGGTCTTTGAAACCTGATTGTGTGTGGAAGCAACTTTAACTATGAGGGCTGTTCCAAAAGCAATGCCTTCCACCTTATTATGTTGCCCATGACATCAGAGCGGATGGTGGTGGTATGGCAGTAGAGATTGAACCTTTCTGCCAATATTCCATTACCTTTTGTTGCCATGTGGCAGATGGCAGCAGAGGGACAGTCTGACAAAATGGCTTCTGATGTGAAAGAGCATATGAAGCAAAGGTGTGGAACTGTATTCATGAAAAAATGTCACCCTCTGACATTCATTAATGCTTGCTGAATGTTTATGGAGACCAAACAATGGATGTTAACACGGTGAGGTGGTGGGTGGTACTTTTCAGCTGTGGTGACAGTGACGTGAAAGACAAGCCACGTTCTAGATGGCCATGCAGAGCTGTCACACCACAAAATGAAGAGCATCTCAATCTGCTCATCCACACAAATCAGTAGATTATTATGACCAGGGAACTGTTTACAGGGTTGAATATTGGTTTCACTGCATTGGAACCAATACTGACAGTGTTGGAATATTGCAAAGTTTGTGCTAAGTGGGTCCCATGAATGCTCATACAGGAACAGAAGGAACACTGTTTGCTGGTTTGTCAGGACCTATTGAACCAATACATGGCTGAGGGTGACAGTTCCCTGGATTGCATCATTACTGGTGAATAGATGTGATGTCACCACTGTGAGCTGGTGTCAAAATGGCAGTGCATGGAGTTGTGACATGTGAATTCCCCATTGAAGAAAAAGTTCAAAACTCAACCCTAAGTGGGTAAAGTGATGTGTACTATCTTTTGGGGTAGGAAAGGGGTGATCCTTCTGGATTTCCTCGAACCTGGATCAGCTCTGACTGCTGCATTATGGTGCTGACTGAACTGAAAGCTTAAATTTCCAGAGTCAGGTCAGAGAAGAAGACAACCTTTCTCTTGCAACATGGTAATGAAATTGAAGACCGTAGAGCATTTTGCCAATCTTAGCTGGACTGTCCTACCACACCCATCCTATAGCCTGGATTTGACATCATCTGATTTGTATCAGTTTGGGCTATTTAAAGATGGACCATGTAGGCAACATTTTCCTGGCAACAATCATAGCAGCTGTAAAACAGTGGGTCGCTTCTGCTGGTGCAGATTTTTCTGAGCAACATACAGTGTTCTTTAGCTGAGAATTCTCTCTATCAGATAGTGGTATTGTGCTCTTTGTATCTGTTTCTGTTTCCATGGAAATAAATAGGAGGCATTACTTTCACTGCAACCCATGTAAAAATCATATTTAAAGTTTTGACTAGGAGGAGCCAAGGAACATCCAATAAAACAAATTTTATATTGTGATTTTTTTTTTAGTGTAGCTGATAGTCATTAAAATCGTAGCATTATTCACTTCTTTGAAAAGCGTTCTTGCAAATCATCCACTAAAACATAAATTCTGTTCTTTTCCCATGCACTGTCAGCTCATTCTTGCCATGCAAACCCTCTTGACTTAAGGATTTTTGGCATTCATTTAATGATGACAAAGTTGCAATTCGCTTTTGCTTCCTTGGTTAAAATACTTACTGAGTAAAATGCTTGTGTAAATCTGTCCTGTCCATTTAGTGCTGTGGGACTTGTAATCTAGTTGGGGTGATTTTTTTTATTTTTATTTTTTCCCCCCAGTTTTGAGGTTTAAGCTCTCCCTAGCTAGTCCCAGCTGTTTCTTGGGGGAACACATCTCAAGAAAGCCAACACAGGTTTCAGAAGCCTGTCAGTCTGAGCTTAGTGCCAGGGAAGGTTATGGAGCAGTGCACCTTCAGTGCCATCATACAGCACCTACAAGACAGCCAGGTGATCAGGCCCAGTCAGCATAGGTTAATGAAATGAAGGTTCTGCCTGACTAACCTTGTTTGCCTTTTGTGATAAGTTGACATGCTTAGAGGAGGAAAGGCAGTGGGTGTTGTTTACTTGAACTTTAACAAAGCTTTTGATACAGTTTCCCACAGCCTTTTTCTGGACAAACTGTCTGCTGGTACTTCCACCCATCACTGATGTCCATCAGGACACTGAGCCTTTCAGCACTACATTGGGTGTATGATTTCACAACCAGTTCCTCGTCCACTGAACAATCCACCCATCAAATCCACATCTTTCCAACTTAGGAATTTCCCTCTATCCCACCTTCAGCATTTATTTCAAACTGGAGGAGCTACATGAGCTGTTAGTTAAATTTGCCTTTGAATGGAATTTCCCTCTACCTCTGTAATCTGAGTAATTAATGGCACGAAGCATGTAATATGAGATTGATTTTTGTCTATCTAGCAACATTCTTCATATTGGTGTGAGGCTATGAATGTAAATTGTTAATGAGGTGGAAAATTTAAGTGCATCGAGGAGAATGGAAGAAAAGCGTCTGGATTTCTTAAAAACCAGTTTTGTACTCAAATTGAGTTTCTGATATTTCTAATCCCTCAACCTCTTTAAACGGAAATGCTGAGAAGGAAGAAAGTTGTGACTGACCTCATCATTACCTTCTTTAAATCTTTATTAGGTGTAACTGATCATGTTAACTCTTAGATCAGCATGAACTTGTGGGAAAAGGAGAAATATCTTAGTTCAGACACAGTTTCATTTGTGATTTTATGGTAATTCACCAGCTGACATGCAAGTCAGCAGTCAGTGCCACTTGGTTGTGCACTGTGCTGTATTTTTGAAAATTATGGCCAAATTACATTTTTTTATACATTCTTGAGTACATTAAATCTGGATACTGATGTTGTATGTAAACCTGATGCTAAGTTGTATGTGGTTCTTGATGCAGTCTATACTAAAACTTATCTTAGAAGGAATTCAGTTATAGAAATAATTTGTTTGACTATTTATCACAGATCTGTCATCATTTGCTCTTCATTTGAACCTATTCAGAACTGCTTTTCATATTTAAGAGTAGAGAATTTAATCTATATACTGTGAAATCCAAGCGTGTTTCATGTATGCATGCCTATGAGAAGATGAATATATACATAGATAATACATATTCACATGTATGTATGAAAACAGATATGTGTCTGTAAGTGTATATACACACACAGTTTCACCACTGTTTGCATGCACACCTTCTGCTTTACCCGGTAAACTACATCTCAACTTCCAGGTTCTCATAATTCTACATTTCTGATTCTCTCCCCCATCACACCTGGGCAGAATGTGCAAGCAGCTGTGTGTCTGTTGGGTTTAACAGATTGCCCAGAGAGGTTGTGGATGGGAGGTGTTTAGGGCCGGGTTGGATGGGGCCCTGGGCAGTCTGATCTAGTACTTGATCTAGTGGCTGGCAGCCCTGCTTATGGCAGGGACATTGGAGCTCGATGATCCTTGAGGTCCCTTCCAACCCAAGTCATTTTATGATTCTATGATTTGTTTTAGTAAACAAGGTGTGTTATACTTGTATCCCCATTCAAAAGAGAGACAGTATTTTTCTTACTAGTGTATATAGAATATAGTTTTTTCAAAACTTGTTTTAGAAGGAACTTTGATATAACTATTTACATTGTTGAAATAAATTTTACATTACCTACTCAGCAAAAATAAGTTTGTTCCACAGATTCAATAGGAACACGTTACTGTTGTGTGCAGTGATGACCTCCTGGCTGTAAGCTCTACATGTATGGCTGAAGAAGTAAGAATAACTTTTTAAAACATCTGTTGCAGTTTTCTTCAGAAACTAGTATTAATAGAATTAAAACATCATATAAATATTAAGGTTGGAAAAGACCTCTAAGATCATCTATTCCACCTATCAATGCATCACCACCGTGTCCCTCAGTGTCACGTCTACACGTTTTTTTGAACACCTGATTTTGACAAGGGATGTAATGAGAAATAAAGTAGGAAGCAATTGCTCTAGAAAATAATTGCTCTAGTAAGTAAGAAGAAAATTAATTGTCCAAAAGAAGGGTTAGAGGACCTCCTCTATGGGGGTGGGCTGAGAGAGCTGGGGCTCTTCAGCCTGAAGAACAGAAGGCTCTGCGGGACCTTATCGCCTTCCAGTACCTGAAGGGGGACTCAGGGAAGCTGGTAGGGGACTCTGCGAGTGACAGGATGAGAGGAAATGATTTCAAATTGGAAGAGGATAGATTTAGACAAGATGTTAGGAAGAAATTTTTTAGTATGATTTAGACTAGATATTAGGAAGAGATTCTTTACTGTGAGGGTGGTGATGCACTGGAACGGGCTGCCCAGAGGGGTTGTGGATGCCCCCTCTCTGGAGGCACTCAAGGTCAGGCTGGATGGGGCTGTGAGCAACCTGGTCTAGAAGAAGGTGTCCCTGCCTATAGCAGGGGGTTGGAACTAGATCACCTTACATCTGCCTTCCAATCCAAACCATTCTATGATTCAAGATCTGGGCAACCTCTGCTCTGCAAGGTTTCTGTGGTTTAAAATCAGTCATTTGACATGCACACAGCCACATTGCCACTGATGAAACAACAGCAACTCCAAGCTCTCTAGACCTGCTCTGCTTCAGTTATCATATATCAGAGCTTGCTTTGGAGTTGAGGTTTACTAGCACTTGAAAACAAGCTGCCCTTGACACCAAACTGCAGACTCTGAATTGAGATCCCAAACTGTAACGCAGCAGACACAAATTCTTTCCTGAAGAAGCATGTGTGAATAATGAATGAATCTGTTAATAAAATA